CAGTGATTGGCGGGCCAGCAGTGATGGGGAGGCCAGCAGTGATTGGCGGGCCAGCAGTGATGGGGAGGCCAGCAGTGATTGGCGGGCCAGCAGTGATGGGGGGGGGGCAGCATTACATTTACTTCGACTATGCATTCTCACATATTATTGTCAAGTACGACGCCTTCGTCATAAAAGCCAAAACCCTAACTGCAATGCTAATCTTCGTTTACCACGGCCATGGTATAGCGCGCGGGAGAGGGAAACAAGAGAACGTGCGCGGTCGTCGACGCACCCACCTGTCTGTTCTGCTCCCACACTTCGGTGATGTTGATTTCGGAGTCTTCGAAGCCCATCTCAGCGAGGCGGCAGCGTCGGTAGAGCTCGTAATGACGCGTGTGCGTCTGCTCACGCAGGTCTTCCATGTTCGTGCGGATCAGCATCTCTCTCAGCTTCACAAAGTCACAGTGTGTCTCGTTCTCCACTGCACACCAACAAACCATGTGTCACTGCTAGCTCTTCGCCTCTCTATGTATTATGCATATTTGCTTGGGAAAGACAGCACATGCAAACCAGCTGTTAGCTGCACAGCTATTAAAGGAGGTGAATCATGCTGCCTGCCATGCTCTAGTCGTGTTGTTAACTACAACTTTACACTCAGTATACTCAATAATTAAGGAATAGATTGTTTGAGAGATTGCAAACCTTGTACTGTTCCCCAGGGATACTCTCGTGCTCTCATTTGCTTGCTGCCAACCTTGACAAAGTCATTGCTGCCAACTACAGCGAACGGAATGTGGCTCTGAAACGAAGAAATGATGAACTCAAGACTAAATAATCCAATAAAAAACAAATACAAATACAATACACGTATGCACACGTGAGATAGCAAATAACTATGCAAATTTAAATTCTCATTTAAAAATGCACGAACCAATCTACTAATGGAAACAGCATTGCCAATAGGCATCATTTAGCCAATAGTTCAACTCATGACACTTCCACATTCCCTCGACTACTAAGTGAAACTAGCGGGTAAGGCGTCTGCAGGCGACTGGTACAATGGGAGGTGTGCACTCATCGCTGGATGCTCACTAGGTGGCGCTTACATTCATGGTGGCGTTGATATCCGCTACGGTTTCATCGTCGGTGGGAAACTGATATATCTGCACTCCGTTGCTCACCAGCTCACTCATGATCTACAAATTACACAGATAAAAGCATACAATATTATCTCAAAGTTACAGCAATGGAATTGAAAACATTTTAAGGATAAGGAACGTGTTAAACACAACCAATGCATTAATTATATCATTTTACATTAATTTTTAATTTGTTCATTTCTGTTACACAGGCATGAGACAGACAAATGCTGGAAAGGGAGGAACATTCGCGTGCCACCGGCACGAGACCTCTAAGGGGGTCGGGAGGCAGGCCCCCAGAAAATTAAAAAAAATTATAAGCTCTGAGATGCAATCTAGAGCCATTTCAGGGTACTCCAATAGCTCACAACTAGCAACACTTTTTGGTGGAACAGGAAAAAAAAAACTGATCGGAAATTTGCGTAATAAACAGCCGCTGAATCACATCGACGTCATTGTTCTAACACAAAAGATGGCGCCAAATAGACTGGTACACAACAACTGCCAGTATCGTAGTGTAGCGAAGTAGTAGTCGAGCAAGGACCAGTATGAGCAGGAGCTCGGTTTATTAGATTGGTCCCCGCCTGCCTGTACAATGGGGGTTATGCTCACTAAAGATAAATGAACATTGATATCCGTCGATTGCTGTACTTCGATGTACTCTGCTTTTATCATTATGTTAGCAAGCATAATACATTGAGACAATGATACTAGTAGAAGCGGTCCGGATAGTTACCGAGTCACAGTGTGTTCACATGTACGGCGCGATCGTCAGAGCCCACGGAGGTATTCTTACTCCCCCCCCCTCCAGAATTTACACTGATCTCAGAAATGGTCTCTGGAGTTCTAAAATGGCGTGAAATCCGCCGAACGGCAGAAATGTCTCATGCCTGGTTACACAGTTCTGACACTGATTCATGAGTCATTAATAACACATTCGCAGTGCTGACATACTAGGTGAGCTACTCGCGCGCACGTGTACCTTAATCTTGAACTTGTGCAGTTCATTCTTCGCGATGCAGTCAGCCTTGGCAATGACAGGAATGATGTTGACCTTGCTATCCAGCTTCTTCATACACACGAGGTCTATCGCCTTCAATCTACATCCACCACCACAAACAGACAACACACACGATATAGACGACGTCGTGGCGAGATTGACGTGCGATGGCCGTCGCATCCCTTCCCATCCATCATCTACATCCACGTCACGCTGTCTACTCCACGCCGGGTGTGAGAACAGTGAGTGTGCAATTAGTATGTGCACAGCGATCCAGATAAAAGCAGAAGTTTGGTCATTGAGATATTTTTTTGGCCTATTTTTATAGCGTAAACGAAACATTTCAAAAGAATTAATTACTAAAGCGTAATTACTAAATACAAATGAAAAAGTGAGACCCCCTCCCTCACAATTTGTGCGCAAGGACTACGAAGTCATCGTCTGCTATGTGACCGACCGTGACACGTGGCGCCGCCACGGACGCACGATGCTGCGACTCACGAGTGTCCGGTGGGAGCGATGAAGTAGAGACAGGTGTGGATGCGCGTGTCGTGGAACGAGTGGATCGAGCGTTTGATCTTCATCTCCTCCTGCAGGAAGTTCTCAAACTGTGCGTCGATGTAGTCGACGATGGCCTTGAAGCTACGCGTGCAACAAACAAACAAACGTCTGGCATCAAAAGGCGAAAGCAAGCGCGTGCTTTCAAAGAGCTGCCGGCAGTGATTTTTTATTAAATTTACGTTTTTAGAGCTAGTTTCTCACACGTTTGATATCATGTGTGCCATGAGATAGCAAAGTAAAATTATTTATCGAATTTTCATGAGACAAATAAATTGGTCAACTTTAATTAACTTGTTTTACTGCCAGTCTATGAAATGCAAAGTTAGAGGAAGCCTCGATTTCAGATTAGCACCTGAAACAAACAGCGTTGATTATAACACAGGACACACAGGTGAGGCGTGTTGTTTACCTGTCCTCCTTGTTAATCTGGTCACCGTATCCAACCGTCTCTATGATGGTTAACTTCAGGTTGACATTACTCTCTTTCAGCTCGTATGTGTTTGACTTCAGTTTCACCCCGGGAAGATCATGGGTCGCAGGAGTCGAATCGAACGTCGTGTTGAATAAGGTGTCCAGTAACGTGCTCTTACCCAGTCCCGTTTCACCTACAGACAGAAATATGATTCCTTTGAGAATTTTCCCCCAAAAAGAATTACACATTCTACAAGTTAATTTTGATAACAACGTAAATGCATAAAATCAGGAGTGAATAAAACTAAATTTATTCTTATTATTCACTCCTGATCAAATACATAATGTTAATTTCATATCACATTCACATAGAACTGACCATATCCTATCTCTAATTATTAAACCTAATAATTGCAAAAACCCACATTCGATATGCACTTCCTGAAAGCGTCAGTATCACCTGAGCAACCCAGTTACAATAATCACGCATACACCTCCCCGCACGAACAGTTACGTCTTTACAATCTCGCCGTAAAACGCTGTCATCTCGTGGCGGCGCGGCTTAACCAAAGACGACTGAAACATCCTCGGAATTTGATATCAGTTACAAGGACATTTATTGCTGCGGATGCGTGGGTCTGTCACACACCCGCCAGCATCTAACACGCACCCGCCAGCATCTAACACGCCCCCGCCAGCATCTAACACGCCCCCGCCAGCATCTAACACACACCCGCCAGCATCTAACACGCCCCCGCCAGCATCTAACACGCCCCCGCCCGCTGCTTACAGTGCAAGCTCAGAGCAGCATAAACACCGGTGCGTCTTGCTTCAGCTCATCTCTGCTATCAGGAAGCACCCGCCTCCTCACAGTAAGTGTGTCACACACTCACGCACGCACAGTCGCACACATATACTCACTTACTCACGCACGCACGCACGCACGCACGCACGCACGCACGCACGCACGCACGCACACTCACACAACGCAGCACTGCCTGTGTGGTTTTTTAGGACTCGCTCCCACTGTCATCTGGCACTGTGTTACGTTTCTTTTGTGTTTGTCATGATATTGTGAGAAAGCCCCATGCTGTTCTCGCCCCCATATAGGTCGCCATGCTGCTGTAGACACAGGGGGGGGGGATTGTGGCGATCAGAGTGAATCCCACCCGGTCACATTCACACACTGCTGCCATGCATCTACACGTAAACATGAACTGGTGGCGTGG